AAATATTACAAAAAAAAAAAAAAAAAAAAACATGATTTTGATTTTAATTTTTTCTATAATGATATTGGTAAATACAATATTAAAGATTATAATAACAACAACGATATAATATTTTTACATTTTCCGTAGAACAAAAAAATGATGAGTAAAATACAATAAATAAAAAAAAAAACAATTATCGCGAATAAAAGTAACAAAATAATCTAAATAATGACAATCATATCCCTACCTATTTCAATTCTATTATACCTGTTTCGCTTGGATCCACAGCAATGCCGCAAATCTCAACCATTGAGCCCTAATAGATCATCACTGGCAGGAACTCACCAAAAACGAAAAGAATTTAACAATGCAATTTGATTACGAATCAAGCGAGGAAGACGGTAAAGAAAGAATAATCGTGGTTGTGATTGATTTGTTAGGTTTTGATTCCGCCATTGTTGAGGTTATTGGAGAATTTGAAGAATTGGTAGTTGCAGGTTTGGGGGAGGCCAACATCGGAGCCAATGAGTTTTCTGATTTCGGATCTGAACTTGAAGAAGACGTGTCTCCAGCTTCCTCTGTTTTGAGATCCAAGGATTTTGGATTCCTCTTCGTTCATCTCCAGATCCATAGCGAAGATAGGTTTGCGAGAGAGAATCCAGGCCCAGCCCCAGTCCCACCACTTACGGACGGAGCTTTCAGCGAGATCTCCGATCGAGGACATGGATTTGGACTTGCGGATCGCCCAGGCGGTTGCAGGGGAGGAGATTGGCTGGATTCGGAGAGAGAGAGAGGAGAGACGACGGCGGAGTGTTTGGTCGGCACCGGAGTCGGTGTGAGAGACCGGGAGGGCGTCGGAGAGAGGCCGAGTCGGGAGGAAGCTGCGAGTCTTCTGGAAGGTGTGGACGACGGAGGACATGGTGATGTGAGGGCGGCGGAGACGGCGGCGATGGTGGAGGGGAACCAGGGGGAAATGGAGAAGGAGAGTGTGAAGGGGGTGAAAATGATGAAGCGTTGGCGTGTTAACAGTTGGATCCCAGGCTGTTTTATTCGCTACGCGGTGCGGGTTGGGTCGTGGGATGATTATCGTGGGCCCTTCTATTTATACCTTTCACTTTCTTAATTTTATTAGAATTAAAATAATTCTTTTAAATATCAATTTTAGCCCATATAATTTTAATAAATTTTAGATTCGTTAAATATTTTTTTTAAATATATTAAATAACAATAATAATTTTTTCTATTTTAATTAAAATTATGAATTTGATTCTTTTACTCCAAACTCATCTCTCTATTTTTTGGTATTAAAATCAATTATAAATGATTAAAATATTTTTGATTTTCTAAAAAATAGGGTTGAACTGTAACCTTTTCGAGTTGATGGAGCACCGAATCAAATTTTTTGTTTCCTCAAAATTAAAATAAATTCAAACTGAGAAAAATCTAACCCAATATTTAGAAATAAAAACGTTAGTATATAAAAATAAAAATGTTAGTATATAAAATATTTATTTATTTATTTTAAAATATTAAATTAAAAGATACAACTTAATTAGAGGGTATCTTTTGAAAAATAAAAGATTAATATATTTTGTCTAATAAATTTATTTAATTTATGTCTAAAATTTAGATTAATTTTTTTTTTATTTTAGGTTGAATATATTTCTAATCTACTAATTTTTTTAAAAAAATTAATAAATTTTAAATTTATGTCTTGTCAAATTGTGAATTTTAAAAAATGTTGATTAAGTCGGAATAAAAAAAAAAGAAGTAAAATTTGTTTTAAAAGTTTTATTTTTTTATTTATTTTAACTTAAATTAAAATGAGTTATCACTAACATATGATCCAGCTGCCGGCCCAATTTATGTAATAGAGGCCCAATTCACGAGAGCTTCGGAATCGAAAATTCAGATCTGGAACTCGAAGCTATTGGTAGAGTAATTCTTGATTATGCACAACTATCTGCTCTGCGAAATATTTGTGCAAGAGATTGGAAACTTTGAATTCTGCGTGTTGGCCTCCCAGATCTAAGTTTGTTCATGCGCTAAATGGAGTACAGAAGGATCAAAGATCAGGTATGTTTTGTTTTACCTTCGTTTTCTGTCAGTTTTCATCGTCATTTTTGCTGAATCTCTTCTGTATGAGTTCTAATCTCATTACGAGATCGGTATTTCGTAATGTTTCCTAAAATTTTTTTGTCATTATTGTTTATTTTGTACCTTCGTTCATCCTCCGATGCAATTCATGGCTTTTGTTATCTCGTTAATGCTCACTTGCTGGCTTGCTTAGTGGTAGCTGAAGTAGGAGTTATTATTTGAAAATTGAAATGTGATAGATGCGTTTGATGAATCGTTAAACTCGAACTACATTTCGTTTTTTGAAGTGTGTGGTATGAATGTAATCGTAGGATAAAGATGGCAATGGAGATGACAGCGGGGCTGGTGTTGCTGTGGCAGATGACTTAGAGAGCTTGCGCGGTGGGAAAGCAATTTCAGGCGGTATGTTATCGTGCGGCTCTTTTTGGGTAATCTATCTTTGTTGGAT